GCAGTTTCCCCTCTTTTCATTTCTTTTCCTTAACTACATCTCCTGCCTGACATCATTTTTAACTCAGCAGAACTTCAAAGCATGATAGGATCAAATGTTACTCAAACAAAATGCCACTAGACATACAGTTCTTCCTATGTATTCTGTTGGAATGGATTCTCTATGCACCTTCCTATGCGTAATAATGTTCCAACCAAGAGCCTGCAAGCAAATCCATCCACTTTCTAAGCCTGAACCACTTGGCTTGAACAGGAAAAGAAGGTACCTCACATAGAGGGAGAGGCTGCACCTGGCCCCTGGGCCTGAGGTCCACCACCTCTTCTGTGCTGCAATCCATTTTTACAGAGTATTGCACCACAAGATGAAAAATACATGCCGTTCCTCTATAGTTTGCTTATAGAAATGCACCCCAATGTAGTCCCAAACCATGTTGATAGGTACTACTAGCGGTACAAAATGCAAAAGGATTCAAATGCATCTCCAGAACAAAGATTCATGCACTAGAATAAATTTAAACTGATGCTATTTAGTAAAGGATTCATAAATTCTTACACTTTTCTAAATGCATCTCTTGCATTCCAAAAGTCATTATGCTGTATAAAATGATTATTTCCAAAACAGCATTACCATGAATTATCACCATTGCTGCCTAGCAACGAGCATCTTTTCTTTTCTTTTTGTAACACTAAGCTGTATAAACTAGTATCTAGAATTTGTGCAAATGTGTATTCATTTGAGGACCGCAGAGACACATTCATCTTAGAAATCAGACACAGATAATATAACACATTTAGAGAAACAAAGCAGCAGCAACCATTTCCACACATATCTTAGTAAAAATCTTCTCATTACTGCCTTAACTAAGTTCTGTAAAGCTTAGTTATGACAGGCTGCATTTTTTAAAATCTTCTCTTGAAGTTAGTGGGGATTTTTTTAGAGCTTGGTGTAGAAACAATGGACCCTTTATTGATAACGCTTCATGATGTAAATGTTTGTATTGGTTATACCTAGAGTAGGCTTTCTCTTTCATGTCAATGAATGAGGCACTGTACTGATTTGAAATGTGTGCAGGAAAAGTGAATCCTCTGAATTTGAACCTCTAGGTCCCAAATCACGCCCAGACTCACTCCTTGGGGGTCCAAGCTCAACTCCTAACCACCCATGAGCCCTTCCTGCCCCTCTTCACCTCCTTTTCCTCACAGTGACCACTTACATCTCACACATTGCAAAAAACTGGCTGCAGATTTGCATAAAGTTTGCATATGTTAATTCATAGGGACAGATACAATTTTTGAAATAATGGTTATAATGAAACATAAATATAGTGCATCTCACCATAGTGCAGAGGACTGTGATGAGGTGACCTCATCAGTTTGACGTCCAGGTGCTAAACTATTGGTGGCCAACTTCCAGGCCCTTGATTCTTGATCCATAAATTAGTCTTGGACTGGGCAGTTTTCAAATAGAGGATTTCTTCAAACAGAAGGCTGTCCTCTGTGAAGGAGGATGCATAGACGTCCTACTTTTCCCTGCCCCAAACTTGACCACTAGCAGTGGGAAGACCGTGTGATGCAATCTCCCACTATTCCCAAGGACCCTCAGTGGTGACACAAATGAGCCTTTGTGCCACAATTAGGGGAGTAATGGCCTTATCCTTCTCGTTAAGTCCAGGGAGTGTCTCCTCAGTTGTTTCTGTGCAGAGAGTTAGGGGGATTTTTTAGAGGCTCTTTGTGAGGCAAAAGTTAATCGTCCAAGTTACTCTGCTTGAGTGTTAAAGACCCTGTATCATTGTCCATATCGGGACACCTGGATCTTTTTGCTCTTCTCATTTCTGGGATTCTTCGTATATCAGCAGGGCCTTACTTTTGGGTCAAATGGTGGAGTTCCAGTCCAGATAGGTCTACAGCTAACTTGTGGGTGGCAAGGAGATAGAAAGGAGGCTAAAGAGATTAAAAAACCCCAAACCAAGCAGAATTTTCCTTTGATGTAGTCTCTTCAGCAATGACAATTCTTCCTCTCCCTCGGTTTAAAATATTTGAAAGGTTTAGGGGGATCAGAGGAGTTTAAAAGGGCTTTAAAAGATTAAAAGGTTGTGAAGGTTAAAGGTCCTTAAAATAAGTTCTAGCAGCATGGAGATATAGCTGACAGGAAACCCGGATGGTAGCTACAAGACAGTTGAGTTTCCTTAAAACTAATTTACGACACTGGGGTTGCCGGAACAGATAGAACACATAAAATAACATTGCTTTCATCAAAAGAATAAAAAGGGAACAAGAAAGGGGGGCAGCAAGGCAACCCCCCCTCATCTTGTAATTAAAAGGAATTTTGCAAAGCTCTGATAAGCACATACTACCTCGGCACCATCTTAGGAGCTGACATGAAAAAGCAACAACTCTCTCTCTCTCTCTCTCTCTCTCTATATATATATATATATATATATGTTGTTGTTGTTGTTGTTTAGTCATTTAGTCGTGTCTGACTCTTCGTCACCCCATGGACCAGAGCACGCCAGGCACTCCTGTCTTCCACTGCCTCCCGCAGTTTGGTCAAACTCATGCTGGTAGCTTCGAGAACACTATCTAACCATCTCGTCCTCTGTCGTCCTTCTCCTTGTGCCCTCAATCTTTCCCAACATCAAGGTCTTTTCCAGAGATTCTTCTCTTCTCATGAGGTGGCCAAAGTACTGGAGCCTCAGCTTCAGGATCTGTCCTTCCAGTGAGCACTCAGGGCTGATTTCCTTAAGAATGGAGAGGTTTGATCTTCTTGCAGTCCATGGGACTCTCAAGAGTCTCCTCCAGCACCATAATTCAAAAGCATCAATTCTTCGGCGATCAGCCTTCTTTATGGTCCAGCTCTCACTTCCATACATCACTACTGGGAAAACCATAGCTTTAACTATACGGACCTTTGTTGGCAAGGTGATGTCTCTGCTTTTTAAGATGCTGTCTAGGTTTGTCATTGCTTTTCTCCCAAGAAGCAGGCATCTTTTAATTTCGTGACTGCTGTCACCATCTGCAGTGATCATGGAGCCCAAGAAAGTAAAATCTCTCACTGCCTCCATTTCTTCCCCTTCTATTTGCCAGGAGGTGATGGGACCAGTGGCCATATTCCCCATACTACATTCTACTCATGTAAAAACAAGCTGATTCCCAGACCATCCACGGACCGGATTGAGAAGGCGATTGGGCCGCATCCGGCCCATGGGCCTTAGGTTGCCTACCCTTGGTTTAGCGGGAAGACACTCCAATGAAAATTTCTGATACTATATTTCTGTGTGTGTGTGTGTGTGTGTGTGTGTGTATAGTATATGGATGTTTTAAGATGGTCTGTATCTGTAATGCCCAATAAAGGTTTGGAGAAAGAAAAGGTGACACAAATGTTTGCAACATTTCCATGGGGCTACAAGTGCAATCGGGGAACCAGTGCAAAGAGTGTATAGGCTCCAGTTAATGTAAAGCGCTTGGCAGGTTTCCCACCACTTCAGTGAAGTCAACACTGGGCACTGTATCTCAAGCTCTGTGTGCTCTAAAGTATATCCTTGGGACTGCTTCTATATGATGGCTAGCAAGCCATATGAGCAGGCCAAATGTTTCTTTTGGGAATAGATTCCGTAACAGCTCACTGAGAGAAAGCTTTGTGTTTCTTTTCATGAGATAGATGCAAACATGAACAAGTGTTCTGGCACCTGTATGTCTGCAGAAACCCAGAAGAAGTGTAGAATAACAGCTGTGAATCACAGCAACAAGAGATATGCCAGCATGGGGAGTGGAAGACATTTTGGGTGGTGCTTTTCTCCCTGTCCAGAAAAACAGCTGTTTACAACTTAAACAACATCTATGTTCTGATAGGTTTAGCCTAACGGTGTACGCCATCCCCGTCACACACACACATTTTCTTCAGCCTGCCTTTTATCAGGCTCAAAGGGGGAAAAACATGCAGATATTACAGAGATGTTTCAACTGATATTATCAAAAGCCTAATCTAGAGGTATTGTTTTTAATTTCAAAGGGCTAGTGAAACCACAACATTTTGTTGTGTGGAATGATTTTATTTCTTATGCTACAAAAATAATACAATGAGACCCCATTTATCCCGAAAAGTATGTTCAATTTGGAAAATTAATAGTGGGCAAGATCGTGAATAGAAATTATGATAAATGTTAACATATAATTTGGTACTTGTGGGGTTCAGTTCTTGTTATTACTGTTTTGAGGCTTTCTTTACAGTAAAATGGTGTATAAATTTACGAAATAAGTAAATAAATTAGCAATATGGGACTAGAAAAGGGTCTTCTGTTCAATATTCAGTGTTATTATTCTGTATGAGCTGTTTGTTGTTTATAGCTTTGTATCATAAAAGTTTCATCAGCATCATAAGCAAAAAGATCAAATTTCTGTAGCAGCTCTGGCTGACAAACAAGATGAAGCACATTTAGGCCCTGCAAATAAGCCAACAACATTTATGAAAAATTTGTATCCCACTGCCTCACACATACCTGTGTTTGTCATTTCACACTTGAAAGAAAGGAGACTCAGCTCTCTTCCAAATTATAAAAAGTTTCTATACCTTCACCTGAAGGTGATCCTTACTGCTTATGGGCAATAAGCACCCAAAAGATTGTTGTATGAGACTTGGTAAATCTCTCTTGGTATTGGAAAGGCAAGTCTCCAAAATGAATCTTCTCTGCTGCTTAGAATAGTTGACAGATAATATGCAACCACGTACTGCCCTACTGATTTTTATAATTATTTTCCCTGCCACTTCTTGAACAGAGCTGAGGATATTAATGAATATATTTTGGAACGATACACTGCTCTCCCCTCTAATGGCCTCTACAGCCTCAGCAGATGCTGTAACACTCCAACAGTTTGACTTTACCCCCAATGGCACACTCTTCCATTGTCTCTTGAGACCGACGGATGCCAACAATACAGAGAGAGAGAGAGAGAGAGAGAGAGAGAGAGAGAGAGAGAGAGCTGACACAGTGAGAGATCACTTACTTGTATGGAATGTGCTTGCTGCCATTGACTAGGGCTAGGATCACATTGCCCAGTGCAGACAATGAAAGACAAAGTCCAGAGCCTCCTTCACGATTTTTGCTGAGGGGTTTGACACAGCTGCCCAGGTCAATGAGGTGTAAGCGGCTACGGCCTCCTGACACTGTTAGAGAAGAAATGAGAGAGAGGGATATTAAGAGCCAGCTTTCTGATTCTCATAGGTTAATGTAAGTATGGTGTTGGAATATATAAACTCTGGAATACGATATGTGGTTTCCTGGGAATAAGGCCCCTTGAAACCAATGGGTTTTAAGACTGGAGATACACACACACACACACACACACACACAGAGAGAGAGAGAGAGAGAGAGAGAGAGAGAGAGAGAGAGAAATTCATGATCTTTATAACCTACTGAGTAGAGACAGCAAAAACAAAGAAGCCAGCATTAAAGCAATAACAAACATAAGAGTTAAACACATTCCTCTCAACCCTTTCTTGTGACTAATCCCAACTCCTCCATTCTTCCATATGTAGGCAAGTGAAATTGCCTGTTGTTTTTATACAGTACTTCATTTTCCTCTGTTATTGCCTCTTTTAATATATGTGCTTGAATTCCACATATGCTTAAAAAAACACACGCAAGAGACACTGCCTGATAAGGCAGTTTTTAATTTTCATTTCTTAAAAAGCTAAAGACCATTACCACTCCTCAGTTCAAAAATGTCTGGCTTCTGAATATTTCATAAAAATATTGTTGGAAATGCTGACACACTACTTAAAGAGGCCGGTGTTCAATGTGTTATATGCTCAGAAATAGAGTGCCATCTAATGTGAGTGTGAAAGGGTATTATTCAACAAATTTTCATGATTATAAATGTCATTATTTGTGCTCCGTATACACACAAAAAGCATTTGAGAAATACTTAGAAATTTAATGTAGCTGATAAACTATATTTTGCTACCCATAGTTGCTCCAAAGTACCAAAGACAAAAAGGTAGATGTTAGGTTCACTGAAGCATGATGTTTTATTTATTAATTTTAACAATTTATACACTGCTTAACATCATAGCCTCTAAGTGGGATACAGTAAGTTTACAAAAGAGAAAATAAAGATAAAATCAATTTAAATTAACCATAAAATCTGAAAACGTGCTTAAAATGCTTGCTGAAATGAAAAAGGTCTCCCCAAAGTTCAACCAGGAGGGGACCTGTCTGATCTCAGTCAGGAAGGAGTACCACAAAATTGGGCCTACTATACTGAATACATATGAGCGATGTGTCCGAGTCATGAGGGTGGCCACTAATAGTGACTCCCCCAAAGACCTCAATAACTGGGCAGGGATATAAGGAATCAGGTGGTTCTTAGTGTATCCTGGACTGAAGTTGTCAAGTGCCTTGTAAATTTATACAAGAACCTTGACCTTGAATTGGTAGCATACGGACTGTAAGTTCAAAGTTTTATACACCAGCGTTGGTATGCTATCTTGAATATAAAGAGTTGTTTCCTTGGACTGCAGATTACAGAACATTGGCTGGGAGATTAGGCTTTGCTTATAATGTTAGTGGTCAATTTTGTAACGTCTAGCCCTGCCCTCAGACTACTAGATTCTCAATAAACTAATTGTTTTTGAGAGCATGGCATGTAGTACAAATGTTGCAATTAAGTGAACATGTTACACTAAGAAATGGAAGTCAGAAAAATAACCCTGGGTGATATCCAAGGTTATTCTTAGTCTGAGTTGATTAATCAAGTCCATTATTTTCAGTAGGTCTGCTTTGAGTATGACTTAAATTGGATATCACCCACTAACATTTTTGAAGAATTGGCACCTATTTATTGATTGTTAGATAGATAAGATTCTGCTTCCCACCGTTCTACAACATTCTATTTATTTATTTATTTCAATTTTATACCAAAAAATGTTACTGAGCAGCATTTTAAAAAGAAATTAAGGGGGCCTAATCACAACTAACTTTAGACTAGATCAGAGCTCATCTCAGGCTCTAGCCAGCTCAATAGGTCTCCCAGAGGTGGAATATGAATGCAACCCAGGGGGACATTTCTTTGATATAATTTATCAAGCTTTGAGAAAATGAGAGGATTTCTTCATTTAATTGCATTAGAAAGTAATTACAAAGTGTGTGCACACACACACACACACACATAAAAAACATAGAAAATTACATGACTTTAATGGCAATCTCCTTAAAGCAGGCCATTCTCATTCCTAAAAGATTGCGCATCCATAGTCCTCCTTTTCCCTGAAGGGGGAAGATCAATAAGCCCATTGTGAGTTAAGTTCTGTCTGGCAATTCTATGTGAGTCATTACTGTAATACATACAAAAAAAGATTTCAGTTGTATGATATGTTTGGACACTTTGATTCATGTACATTGTGTGTGTACTATGATACTGTGTTTATATTTACGTTGGGTGTTATTCAACCAATTTATAAAAATCAGCAGGTCTACCCTGTGTATGACTAATGCTGGCTATCACCCATGCATGTATGTATTTGTACTGGATAATTTTCTGAATCAAGAACAATCCAAAGAACCATTAACAACAAAAATATTCATTCAAACTCCTATTAGAAGGCATCAGACGTAGCAATTCAAACTGACATAATACAAAAATTGCTAACCTTTGAGATTAAATGGTTCAATCATTTAATGAAACCCATAAAGGAAATAGGGGCTTTTCAAGTTCCCGAGTGAATAAGGAAGCCACCCCTTGGTGGTAAGAGAGAGGATTTTGTTTATTAGATCTACTGAATTAATGCCCCTATTTTAATGCTGCCAGAAGAGAGGTGCCTTTGGTTGTGCTTTTTGTTTTGGCGCAGTCAAGTAGTCGTCTGGAAGACAGGCAGCAGGTAGCAACCAAGTAAACGGAGGAAAGGGGAGGCAGTTGCAGGGAAGGAGAAAAGTTTTTCAGTTGGAGAAGAATTACTTAGCTTTATGAGCCAATGCAGAGTTTGGAGATTTATAGGATAAAGTGACACGTCTGAACAGACATTTCATGACATAGTGTGGCCACAGTAGTTCTTGTATTGGAAACACTGCACCTAGATTGCTGATGGGGGCGGACTGTCACCAGCCCATAATTCTGGTACTCAAAAGCTTACACTACAAGGCCAGGTTCAAGGATATTGTATTAATTGATCCCTTATAGCCCTGGATGATCACTGACATCTTTGAAGGAGTCAGTGGCAGTGCCCTCCTGCATGACTCAGGTGCATAGCTCGTATTCACCAGGAGTTGTGCATTCAGCATTGTGCACCCAGTTTTATGGAACTGCCTTGCATATGCATACGTGGACATTTTACAAGGGTGCCACTAGAGATGCATAGTCATTTAAACGACAACAGTATACGCATATCTTAAAAAAAGATAGGGAAACAGTGGTACTTACTTCCCCCTTTTCCACTCTTCTCCATTCGGTACTGGTAGATGTGCAGAGTGAAGAGCATATGAGAATTCTTGTGATCTTCCTCCCGGCAATCTTGCTGGCTGCTACGACGCGAGGCAATGGCTGCATCGAGGAAGAAGGCAGCTTTCTCTGCAGTAGGAGCTCGGAGTTCACTTTGATTCTGCAGCTGCAAGGCAACCGACAGGATACAAACCACATAAAATGTGCATATTGAGATCCAGTACTGGCAAGGTACTTTCTGTTAGCACCACCAAAATACAGCATGCTCTAGATTAGGGAACATCTTGCTTCGCGGAACGTATCTGGCAAAAGAGAATCCCCATAGTGAAATGCCTCCACATGAACAAAAACTCAAAAACGAAGAAGCAAGGTGTTTCACTCTAGATCTGTGATGCTGAATCTGGTGTCCTCCTTTGGATCTGGTTTCTGTTTCTCAGACCCAGTTAGGCAGGTTTTGGTCACTGACACCTTAGCTTCCATCTGCCTTCAAGGTAACCATCAAGCAAGCCTACCTCCACACTTCCCTGTTCTTTTTGGTAAATATGTTGAGAGGCTGGATGTCTTGTAACGGACAATGTAAGACTCCCCCGACCCTTAACAGTTGCTTTGCAAATCTGCTTTCTCAAAACCTTCTGCCGAGTCCAAACTAGATGTGATAGTAAACACATGGTTCCTACTTAAAATGACAGCTATAATTTCTATTTCCCCTGAGATCAATCAATCCTGCTTTCCCCTATCCCTGCTGCACATCATTTGCTGCCCCTTATGGAGAGTGGGGAAACATGGAGCATCATAATGTCAGGACATGTGTATGTTCTGTTAGAACAGAAGTGCAAAACTTGTGGCTTTTCAGTTGTTGCTAGACGACAACTCCCAACACCTGTGACCATTTGCCATGCTCAAGATCACCTCCATCCCTAATCAGAATTCTAACTTGACTCCTAACCTTGGTGTGTTTCAAACAAGACTGCTTAGTTATCACATATGCTTACCAATAAACTGAAGGCTGGGGTGTAGTAAAAGAGGCAACTTTAGATTTTCTGCAGGCACTGAAGAAAGCTTTGAACAATTTTTTGGCATGATTCTCTACAGACTGCACAAGTTAACTGAAACCCCGAACGAAGTCTGTGTGGCCCTTTGTGTTTTCAGGATTTCTGAGTATAATTAATGTTTACTTTCTCTCTTCCTCTTTTGCTGGAAATCTCTCCAACACATTCAGTGCAAGGTAAAATCCCACACCATAAGGGCAGTAGTCACTGTATGCGCAGAACAGTAGGTATTTTGTTTCAGATGTGAGGTCTACAAGGAACTCCTGCCAGCAAGGGTGCCTAGAGGATTTAGCCATAATTTAAAGGAGGGGCAGGGAGTCAAACGGCTACTGCAGCTCATGTATCTTTCAACATGGCCAGGAAGTGTTGTGTTGTTTTTTTAAACCAGTTGGGTGTTCCTATCCGAAGAACACTGGGAGTTGTTCTTGGCTTGGCCAGGGCTCCCATTCACAGCTTGGCAGCAATTAATAAGTAGCTATTAATACTTCCTACAACATTACTAAGCCTAGTACTATAAATAATGTAGTTTGTGAAGATATAAACAGCCATATTATTGGCCTCCAACTATTTGTGCAATATTGTAAATATTTTAGTGTGTTGTTATACATTGGAGAAATTATTATAGGAAGGAGACAAATTTTGTTTGATCTGAATCCTTTCACATTTTATAGCAAACAGAGGTCTCTGCTCAACATCAAGTTATGCCAAAGGCGCAAATATTTAGGCCAGGAGAGCAGATGGCCCCTGCAGCTGCAGGTCATAAAGTTTCTTGTGTGCCTGAGAGTAAACACTTCCAAGTCAGAAAAAGTTTGTGCTTAGGGTTGTTGGGTGTGTTTTTTTTGTGTGTGTTTTTAATTGAACCCATTGCAGTAAAAACATGACACCACTTGGTATATATCATAACTTAAAAGAGTTTTGTATTCACCTGCATGCCACAAATTGGGTCCTCACAAAGGTAGACCCCAGGAGACTGGCCGTCTTGTAAGCTGCCTGTTGCCACCTCTGACAGCAAGTCTCTCAGGTTTTCTTCTTTTCCCCACACTTCCACTGCTGAGATTCGGACAGAGAAACGGGCTCCCGTCTTCTCTTTCCGTTCATTAATCAACTTAAACAGCCAGGATATGGCACAAGGGATTATGCCAAGGTTCTGCATGGAATCATCCTTTCCAATCATTGTGTAGGATTTCCCTATTGGAATGGAGTAGAGAAAAGGAAGATAATATAATGACTGCAAACAGAAAATGTGAAGAAAGGAACCCTATGAGTGATCTTAAAATATTGCACATCCTGATCTGCAATAATGTGTTGTTCAGTGGTATTCACAACCATGTCCAGTCAATGGTTGCCCAACATCACTTCTCCCCTCTCCTCCCCCCATGCATGCTTCATTCCCTCTCCAAATCTGCTCCTAAGGGTTGGGGGACCACCTAGAACAGATTTAGGGTACATGCAGGGGAAGGAAGGCGCAGAACTTTATGTTGAGCAAGGAGAAATCCTTGCACTGATTGAAGAAGAGACTTAGCACTATGTTGGATTCCGTCCTTTGATTTGGAATACACTTGAAAAGTAGTTGTAGCTCTTGAATGGATATTCTATTAACTTTTCAATTTCATTTTTGCACCTCAGTCTTCTGTTGGTAAAACTGGGCCTTTTACAACCTACATTTAATTGTAAAACTGCTCACGGCTTGCATTTTCATGTATAGGAAATATGAATAAGCATATAAACAGAGTCCATCCACATAAAATTTACAATCCCAAGTTAAATAATACTAGAGATAAAATTTCTGAATAGTATATCCATTCAAGTGGTAGACCTTTGGATGCTGTCAACCATAACAATGAGAACCTTTTGAAATAATATTATTTTAAGCTGACTGATCTGTAAGTGCAGTTTTTATTATTATAAACATTCATTATCTTGAATGGATACCATTTTCTCAAACTAATAGTGTTCAACATAAGCACCCCATGGAATTTAAAAGTGGCTACTTCCTTCATCTAATCATCATGATTTTAAACCATTATGCTAAAACAATGGTGAGGAGCAAGTGGGGTGGAGAATGACACATCCCCCCACCCTGGTCACTGTTAAGTATTCAGGGAATACATAAAAATCAGAGGAAGTACAAGAGTGACTGACATATTGAAGGAAACAAGATACAGGAGGTTATAGCTGACAAATTCCTTCTACATTATCCTTTGAATATGAAACTTACTAACCTAGTTTGGTGTGTCCAAAGCAAAATACACATCCATCAGCACCGTTCACCACAGACTGGATCACTTCAGCTACTGTTCCTGCACATACTTCGGCCTGTTGTAATGGGGAAGAGGATTATATATTCATGAGGAAATGTGAATATAAATGGGATTATCAGTATCTTGCTTAAAGAAAACTAGGTTATATTTGTTGTTGTTAATAACAGTTTATACGTTTTAATGCTATTTTTATCTATATACTTGAAACAATTTTTGTTATAATAGTTTACAAAATCTATAGGAAAAATATGATGAGGGTTAAAACAGCTTCAAACCAGGAGATGGCTGGTTGCTGCTAAATCCTCCCCCGCCCCTGCAAAAAATTATCAGCAACAGAATATTGTCGTATCTCCTACCTCATTTTTCTGGTGCAGATTTTTTAGATACTACATTACAGTTTGGGGCAGCTGTTTTACAGAAAAGATCATAGCCTTCTCATTATGACTATCACTACTAATGTGAACTGATAAATTAGGAAGCATTATAAGACTGCAAAACTGAGGGATGCTTGAGGTACATACTCAAACAGATAGCAAAGGAGAAAGAAGGTTGTCTACGGACAGAAAGGATCCTGTCATGCTGATATCAATGGACACAAGGATATCAAAGGACACTTTCCTTTGAGCGCACAAGGAAAGTTCTGACAGCTAGGCTGAAACCTGAAGCAGTTGAATTTTACATACTGATATTGATCTGTTTTGCTCCATACACCCACATTCCCACACACTTGTTTTGGAATAAGTCAGGCTAGACATTTTGAATTGGGTAAGGTTTTAACATTTACTATATATGTTACAAAAGAAATTCATTCTCGGCCTGATATTAATATATAATGAAGCTTCTGAATAACGGTAATGCAATTCTTTGAATAATTATCCCCATCACAGTTTGCCTACCTGAGATGCGTCTTGAGGGAAAACGGCATCAAACGCAAACATCTTGGGTGGCACTTGACTGCTCCTTTTTTGGAAGGCATTCTGGCTTCCACAGGACAATGGGTCATACAGAGTAATTTGCTTCTTACGAGGATCAACCTTTAAGAAGGAGCTGGATTCAGAGGAGTCCCTGGCCAAGGTAGAACAAATGCGGACCATGACCTTCACCTATAAGCAAACAAAGGGTGGGGGCAGGGAAGGAGAAATCCCACACATTTCATTAGGCTATATATACATATATCAGCAGACAACTATAATTAGACTCTTGAGTACTTTGTATGAAAGTGATAAAATACAAAGTTTGGGATGCAGGCTGGTTTGGAACAAAATTCTGTTAACTGAATGTTTCTTGTGATATCACACATTGCACTCACTCCAGTGAGATCACCAATGTATCTAATGAGTGAAGCATTGCCCTCATGCTCAGTTTCCTTCATGTGCCCTCACTGAAGCATCAGATAATCAATTTGATTTGCAATGTACCACTGTGATGTCATTCATAATGAGGTTCCTAATTGGCTGAGATTGCCATGGAGAAAGAAGTAACAGACAGGAAGAAAAACTGTACTGAACAGGAATTTTTATTTTAAAAAAGCTGAATTTTCATACTCTCAATGCATTTTCAAAGAAAAGCAATCCTGTACTCACTCACTAGAGAGTAAGTTCCTTTGAACTCAGTGTATAGGATTGCACTGCTAAGACTGATTTGTAGTCATTTTCAACCAAAAATGGAAACTGGGGAATATTCAATGCAAGCATTATTTCCAATAAGTGGCCCTATCAGCTTGTGTTGCATTTGTTTTGCATCAAGGGAGGGGGAAATACCCCAAACTCTTTTTTGATAGGTGTACCTCGTGCAACAAATGCTGTAGAAAATAAGATTGAATAGCTCCTCTTAATCTCTTTGGTTCACTACCATGTGAGATCAAAATATATCCCTCTTGCTGGGATTTATTAATACATCAGAAGACAGGTCACACCAAGAGGGTTCTTTAAAAGAAATCCATGCAGTATATTCTCTGGGGGGGTTTGTTTTTTGTTTCTTCTTCATATATGAAGCCAACAAAATCCCACATTGCCACATGGGAAGCTTTCTCTTGGCACCGGTTTGCGTAAGGCTCATTGAATTTTATGAGATGTCTTTAAATGTTTTATGTTTCTTGTTATTGATCCCAGCAGAGTTACACCTGGGTTATACCACAAAGCAGAACTCAATCTATAATTCTTATTATTTCTGATCTTTTCAGTCCTCAAGCTCCGTCAAGAATTTTGAAGTCCACTCGCAGTCCACTTAGGCTACTGTCTTGGTGTAGGAATATATTAAGCATATCAGAAATGGAGGCTTCAGTGATCTCGGTCAGCAGTATTTGCAGCTCTAACCCACACTGCAAATTTTCATTTTGGGATTATATAGTTGCTTATGTGATACATAAGGCTGGAGCACTTTCATTTTGAGCAGTGTGTCTTTGTGAACTACTTGTCCCATCAGTCATTTTGGCACATTTTATTGGACATGCATTGTATGGGGAGGGGGCTGGCAGGAGTCCACTGTCCATGGAGACAGAGGCAGAGCAGAGCTATCAGGCTATATTAGCAGTCTATCAATGTAATGGCAATTGCTGACTATAGGAACAGACTTATTGGAGGTTAATGAGGAGTAGGCTTTGTAATTCCTCATTGCCACTGCTTTAAATAACAGAAAGGAGCATAAATTTCTGCCGAGAGCAGCCGCAAAATTGAATGGTGCAATAAAATCTATATCTTCTTATGACTTACATACATTTTCACACAAAAGAAGCTTGTTGCAAAGGAGTGGGAAATGAACATCATAAACAAACACCGGTATATACTGGAATCTTATTTCTTTATCTTCACTTTGATGTCATTCAATCGGTAGAGTTCAAGGTATCCATAATTTTGCCAGCACAATTAGGATGAACATATGGGAAAATGTGAGTGTTCATTTTTTTAGACTGCATTTTGGAACCCTCTGCATGCCAAGCAGACTACTGAGCTGTAGCCCTTGGTTGTAAAAGATGCACCTGGTGCAAATCCTCCCTTTGTTTCAACTCTTCTTCATCACAAAGCCTACACCTTCAAAGTGAGAAGCCTGTTCTAGAGCAACGGCTTTCTTCACATGCTCAAGGTGAAGTTCTTCATTTAAAAGCAGCAGCAGCAGCAACAACAACCCAGAAGTTGGTTGAGTTTTGAAAAGCGAAATCAGAGGGCAGGATCAAAGGTGTTAGGACCTAAACCTGGGGTCAGATGCAGCAACAGAGAGCCAAGTGATAGCTCCAATCTCCATGGTGTGGAAGGTGTTGATTCCTGCATATCAAGCTGTTGTTAAAGAAGTAGCAACAGGCTATGGCCTTTTTAAAGGTCAGTTGGCAACTATATCCTCACCTCAACCCACAAAATGCTTTCACACATTCATGATTACATGCAAAAGCAGCATCTGTCTGAAGCCTGTCTCCATGTTCTGAAGCGACAGTGATAAAATTGGTACAGTACTATGAAGTAGGTACACCCAGAGAGTGTGTTGATGGGTTGTTGTTTTTCTTTCACTTCTCTTTTCTATAAAAATGGAAATAAAAACTGGTTGCCCTTTTGAAAGGTCGGTGACCCTTGGGTCTTTGTAATACCTTCAAAACATTTCAGAAAAGGTAATTATGCTGTAATTCTTTTACAATTATTATTCACTTGGTGCTTTAATGCATCGTTCTCTTTCTTGCTTTTCATAAAAAGTTCATGGTCTTAAAACATTTCAAAATACATCGGAGAGAGAAAACAGATGTAAACACATTCACACTCTAAGATATTCACTCCTGCAACTTCATCTGCTTGAATTCCATTGCTACTTATCATGAACAAAATTTATTATGCTTCTTCAGATAATAGTCTTTTAGAACACTTGAAAATAATGAAAATGAAATCATAAAATAATCACAAGTTGTGTAAAAAAAAAAAAAGAAACCCATGAACTGCAGTGTCACGAGTTCCAGTAACAGCCAGATTACAAGAGTAGGGGCTGCGACAAAAGTATGCATTAACACAATATGTATTAACACATAAGGCACATGGTCCTCACACAAGTTTTTAAAAATCAGCTACGTCTTAACTCTGACCACCAGGAAAGTGGAAAGGTATCAAAAATCTTTGAGTAAAAAAGAAAGAAAGAAAGACTGAGATAATTAGTTCCTCTCTTACATCTGGCAAGTGTCAAATTAGTTCCATTAAATTCTGCCCTGAGCCCTAGGCAATTGACACAAAATATACAAGAGTATTAAAATTCACCTAGGGATTTCCCTACTATTATAATGTTTGCATAGCCTATCCCCTGGCATGAAACCAAATGATCACCACAATGTATATAGCTCTGCCTGGTCTCATAGAAAACACAATATTTTTTACACCAGTACTATTAAATTCTTCTTAGGGTGTTCACCTGGCAAACAACTACAGTAGTGTGATGTGGGTGGCAGTGTGTGAAGGAGTTCAGAGGACATTTTCATCACCAGAAGTGCTTGCATTCGAATGATCCTATGAGAATGGCACCACATACACAGCCAACAGAGCTTCATCCCCTCTGGTGTGGCAGAGCTCAAGTTAACAGCTTTATGCTGAGTCTGACCACTGAGTCATCTATTCCAGTGCTGTGCCATGCGACAGGGGGTTGGCTGCTATTTACTACAGCTGCCAGAGACCACAGCCTGCAAGTGTCCCAGGAAAGCCAGGACATCCTGTGTTTTTTTCTGCAAGAGCATGGCAGCCATTTTGAATGCGGTGATCTTGTGCATTTCCCCCCATGATCTCATGCGGGTCACGTGACTCGTGTGAGAGCATGGACAAGAAGATGTCCCTCCCAGTTTTGGGACTCAACATGTTGGAGGGTATGAGAGACTGAAACTGGGACATGCTGAATAAAAATAATGAATGTTTAACTATCAGGAGAATGGCGGGGGGAAATCAATACATGGATACCTCTTCCTCTCAAGCATGCTAGTTTGGGCAGGGCCAAAGGCAAAAGTGGGCAGATTTAACAGATTTGACTCTTACCTTTGTATGGTAGGATGTGTTCAAGACATAAGTCAGAGGTTTCTATACACACACAAATGCCACCCCATCCTACCTTGTGGCAAGGAAGAGGCATTGTCACAGTTAAACACTCAAGGAGGGGAAGGAGTATGGTCGTTGATGGGAGTGGCCTGGAGACATGTTATGGTCTAGTTCAAAGGTCCAGAAAATAGAGGTCTTGCGAGCCACATTTGCTCCCCAGGCCTGAGGTTCCCCACCCCTGTTGTAGAGAAAATGCTCTCAAAGGAAGGCCTTTGGCTTTTCGCTCTGCAGATGTGAGCCAATCAAGGCCTAAATTAAGACCCTACTCTACAGTTACTGCAACTCTTAGGCACTTTGTTGAGCTGTTAGCTGTAGAGTAGGGTCTTAATTTAGGCCTTGATTGGCTCACATTCGCAGAGTTAAAAGAAGTCCAAAAATTAACCTCTTCTGGTCAGAGGCAAAGAAATTCTGGACTCAAAATTTATCTGAAAAGAACTAGGTGCAGTAGTTAGAATTAGCTACACATGTACCCAACTGAGCTGGGAATGAAGTACTAGAGTCCTTAGAGCGCAAGTGAGGGAAAGCATATTTTTGAGTGCTCACCTCTCTCTAAAGCAGCAATGGGGGAAATGTAGCCAGTTGTTGTTGGGGCTCCAAATCCCATCAGTGCCACATAGCATGGTCAACAGAAAGGGATGATGGAAGTTACAGTCCAGCAATGTCTGTTGGGCCCAGGGTTCCCTATCCCTTCTCTAAAAGTGGGGGAAAGGAAACACCCACCTGCAAGTGGAAAACTACTAAAATCAGGAGTTGATTTTAATGGAGGTGAGCATTCAAATGCAGCATTTTCCACTTGTAGCCTGAAGTTGTACAGTCCATTCTACTGCACATTTTCTTCAGTGTGCAGACTAAAACATATTAGGGACTGTATACTGGCAAGTTTTAGTATGCTCCCCCTTTCTACACCCTGCACTTCTTCACCCATTTGAAATATTTTGAACTGAAAGGTCTGTGGAATTCTTTTCACCCCACAGACTGTAGGCTCCAGTGCAAAGGGCCAGAAAAGCCCAAAAGACCATTCTCAAGACTATCTTGCCTGCATACACAGAACT